ATGGGCGGAGCGTCGGTGGGGGGAGGCGGGAATCAAAGTACGCAAACACCGAGTCTCACTTTTTTTATTCCGACAATAGTTTGAAAAAGTTTCGTAAAAGAGACAGAACTTTTTATTAAGATTACGGGTATGTAAGCGGAAGCCAGGAGGTTTAGCCCCGAAGGGGCGTAAACCGACTGGTTTTATAATTATATGCAATTAACAATCCGAGATAAAATTGATTCTGGAGTTCCCGAAGAATATTCTAAAAAATCGGAAAATTAAGGAAACTGAAATCCCTATATCAAAAAATCATTTTCTGAACATTTTTTTTCAATTTTTTGAAAATTTTCATCTGAAAACAAGTAAAAAACTAATACTTGGAGTTAAAAAATAAGAATTTATTGATTTTGAAAAAATACAAAATTTAGAATTTAAAGAAAAAATAACAATTTTTGGGAAAAGATGGTTATTGAAAGATTGTGACCAAGATGAACAGTGGAAAACAGATGAAAAAGATTATAACTTGAATTTTAAGAAAAAAAAAACTTGAATGAGATTTTTGACAAAAAAAATTGCGAAAGTTGGATTTCAAACAAAAAAAGAATTCTAATGATTCTCAATTTTAAATTAGAGCAACAATATCTTGACGGAACCAATCATTGAGCTGGGTGAGCAAATCGGCAGAATCAGCAGCGATGACTTCGAAATTGGTGACGTCTTCTTCTTCCTCCTCCTCTCCAGAATCCTCGGACAGCTTCTCAAAACTTGACGATGATGCGATGGAGCCTTCAGGAGTCTCATAAGCCTCATCTCCAGAATCAAGCATTTCGAATGACGAATCCCCGGATTCAAAGGCTTCTTCGTCCATTTTCGGAGCACTGAAAGTTTAAAAATAATTTTTTAAAAATTTCCTTGTTTAAAATTGGCCAATTTAGCTAGAATAGTTCTAAATTTAATAAAGTTTAATGAGTACAATAAAATACAAAACTTACATTTCATTCGACTCCTGAGCGGCTCCAAATCCAACGAAATTGAAGAATCCAGACATTTTTGATATTGATTTTTGAAGACAAGATGAAGAATTGAGTATCTAATAGAACTTCTGGTCCCTTTTATACCCCCATTTCCAGGTGGGGCATCTAAACTCCGCCCACCGGGGACATTCTAGATGTCTGCGTCTCTTCACATGTCACTCTCTCTCGCCAATTCCTTTTCTACAGTAACCCGTGTGTTACACCTGGGTTTGGAATAATGGGAAAATGAAGTGAATTTGGGTTCGGGGAGTTTCTGAAGGGCGTGGGAAACAACAATGAGAGAAAAAGTTACCTTACTTTGATTCAATTTATCTCGGTTTCGGGGAAAGATAACGCAATGTTGTCAATTGATAAAATATTTTTGATATTATGATAAACAATTTATCAGTTGATCACTTTTTGATATCTTAAACAGGAATGGAGATATAGAAGTTCAAAGTTTACGATGTTTACGATAATTAATCAGTGATAAAGATACGAATAATGCAAAAATTACCGGTTTGGGGGTTTGAGAAATTATTTTCTATAAAAATCTCTTATTTTTCAGATGTTTTCTAGTAATTTTCAGCGTTTTTAGTCGTTTTTAGACTTGCTCCCTAATTATTTTCAGAATTTCCAGGTTACTGTGGACAGTACACACTGACGACAAATTGCGTACCCGGGAATTTTTGAATGTTTTTCCGGAATTTTTAGTCATCATTTGAGTCAATTTCTGCTCAATTTTCGTGGTTTTTCGTAGTTTTTTCTTGATTTCTAGCTAGATTTTTAGCTGCTAACTCATATTTTTCATCATTTTTAAACCAATTTTCTGCCTAGAAAAGTGGAATTTCAGGCTGTATTGTCATGGAACGTTTTTCAGTGTTTTTGCGAGTTTTTGTCCGATTTTCGTTGAATTTTCTAGTTTTTTTTTTCTGAGTTTCTCTATTAAAATTAGGTTTCTTCGTTTATTGCCTCAATTTCTATGCGGAGTTCCCAAATTTCCAGCTCATTGATCTCAAAAGTCATGAAATTCAGCCCACCTCATTTTTCTTCAAATTTTCTTGAATCTTCCTCGATTTTCAGTTAAATAACCAGCTTCTCATCGTGATTTTTGCGTTTTTCGTCCTATTTTAGTTCCGAAATTTCGATTTTCCCAGCGAAAATGCATCAGATCTATATACTTGGGTTTTCAATGTTTCTAACAATTTCTTTCGAAAATTCTCAGCATTTCATGCAAATATTTAACTTCAAAGCTGTTTTTTCTACATCTATTGTTTCATTTTCTCACAGAATGCGTAGCTTTTCAGCTCATCGATCTCCAAAATCATGAAATTCAGTTCGGTCCATTTTTCACTATTTTTGGCGAATTTCCTCGATTTCCAGCTAAATTTTGAGGCTCTTATTGTAATTTTCGTACTCTTTGTGTCGTTTTTCCAATTATAAACCTCCTTCTCCTGATTTCTTATCTCAATTTCTCCCGAGAAATCTCAAATTTTCCAGCGAAAAACCCCGTCATGGAACCAGCTCCAACATTCCCAAATTCCCGTAAAAAGGAGCGGACTATCACTATCAGTGAGAATTCCAACGAGAACACACTTCGACAGTACTGGAAAACTAAGCTAGATGAGGCAGAGGTTTATTGATTTTTCGGCTTTTTCAATGTCTGAAACCCTTTTTAGTGGAGTTTTCAGCTGTTTCAGCAATTTTCACCCTTAAAAATCCCTATTTTCGATGGTTTTGGGCTCGAAAAATTGATTTAAGCCATATTCACCCGTAAAAATCGGTTTTTTGCAGCAACAAGTGCGTGAGAAGGAGCAAACGATTCGTCGTTTGGGCGCATCGAAGAATGAGTTGAATGGAAAGGTGGGACAGTTGAAAGAAGAAATCAATAGATTGCATGAACAAGCAAGTCATGTAGGAGAAGTATGCAAAGCAATGGATAAAAAGAAAGTACTTGTGAAGAGTCATCCGGACGGCAAATACATTGTCAACGTGGATTCTGTATCGGTGGATATGTCTCAAATGACAGCTGGAACACGGGTTGCAATGAAAGCAGATAGCTATATGATTCATAAAGTGTTACCGAATAAAGTGGATCCATTGGTATCACTGATGATGGTTGAAAAAGTGCCAGATTCAACATATGAAATGGTTGGAGGACTTGATAAACAGATTAAAGAAATCAAGGAAGTCATCGAATTGCCTGTCAAACATCCCGAATTGTTCGATGCACTCGGTATTGCTCAGCCTAAAGGAGTGCTTCTTTATGGACCGCCCGGAACTGGAAAGACTCTTTTAGCACGTGCTGTTGCTCATCACACTGAATGCACTTTTATCCGTGTTTCTGGTTCGGAACTTGTTCAGAAGTTCATTGGAGAAGGTGCTAGAATGGTTCGTGAACTGTTCGTCATGGCTCGTGAACATGCTCCATCAATCATTTTCATGGATGAAATCGATTCGATTGGATCGTCAAGAGTCGAAGGATCGAGTGGTGGCGATTCTGAAGTACAGAGAACAATGCTCGAGTTGCTCAATCAGTTGGATGGTTTTGAGGCTACCAAGAACATCAAGGTAAATGAAAATATCGAAAAATCAGATGGAATTGGTTTGAAAATGGATTTTATGAGCTAAAAATGTGACAGTCGCCAGGTGTTTAAAGCCAAAAAGTACAAAAATTTGGATTTTTCGCTCTCAAGGTCCTGGAATTCCGTTTTTTCCAGGTCATGACCTAATTTTTCGTGGCTAAAAAATCGCGAAAAAAACAACGAATTTTGCATGAAAATGAGCTAGAAATCATCAATTTCGCCAAAATTTTTTGAAACTTTGAAATTTTGGGCTAAAAATGAATGGAAACGGTCGGAAAATCATGAAAAATTGAGTGAAAATTACCTAAAAATCACAAAATTCAACTTCGAATCGACCAAATTCCGAAGAAAAATGGAATTTGAAATTTTCGAGAATCTGTAAAAACCGAAGACCGCGCCAAAGGCGCCCCAGCCAAGCTGCTCACCAAAGTTTCATCTTTATTTCTCCACTTAAAAACACTTTAGTCGCCCTCTAATTAACCTAATTGACCTCTAATTAGAGACCTAGAAAATTCTAGATTTCACTCAGAAAATCTGAAAAATGACCCAAAAAACTCAATTTTTGGTTTTAATTTCTGGTCCAATTTTTAGGATTTTTGGGCTATTTCAATGGTTTTGGTCCTCTTTTTTCTGGCTAAAATCACTCCACTTCACTAATTTTTTCCAGGTAATCATGGCGACGAATCGTATCGATATTCTGGATTCCGCGCTCCTCCGTCCCGGACGTATCGATCGAAAAATCGAATTTCCGGCTCCAGACGAGAAGGCACGTGCACAGATTCTGAAGATTCACTCTCGGAAGATGAATCTGATGCGTGGAATTCGAATGGACAAGATTGCTGAGCAGATTCCAGGTGCATCTGGAGCAGAAGTGAAATCAGTTTGTACGGAAGCCGGAATGTTTGCACTCCGTGAAAGACGTATTCATGTTACACAAGAGGATTTCGAGATGGCTGTTGGAAAAGTGATGCAAAAGGATTCCGATAAGAATATGTCCGTCAAGAAGTTGTGGAAATAATTCTTTTTTCATTTTCTATGTCAAATTCTTGCCATTTTGCCTAAAAATTGTGAATTTAGTGCCCAGAAAATTGCTCATTTTTTGCCCATTTTCCCCATCGAATTGTCCATTTTTGCACATCAAATTGCCCTATTTTTGCCCACAATTTGCTGAAATTGTCCTAGAATTCCCATAAAGTGTATTATTGTGCATGTTTTTCGAAATTTTGCTATGTTTAGGAGTTTTTTTGCCTTTTCAGGAATTTCTTATGAGATCCTTTCCTAATTATTATGTCCCTATAGCTGCACATTGTCAATGAGATAATTATTTTTCACAGTAATTGGTTGCAGACGGTCCCTTTTGACGCAGAGAGTGGATTAGGTGAAGTAGGAAAAAACTATCGTATTATGCTTGTCTGAGATAAAAAAGGTTAGAGAGTATTTTTTGCAGTCTGAATACGGTAGTGATATCGAAGCGGAGAGCCTAAATAGCACTCAAACGGTGGAGACGCAGACACTTTTTCTCTGCGTCTCAACCTTTTTTTTCTCAGACAAGCATAATAAATTTTCAAAAAATTCTGGATTTTTAAATTTTTCAAGCCAAAAAAAACCATTTTTCATGCTAGAAACAGTAAAATAAGACAAAATTCCAATTAATTAGTGACTTTTATGAGATTTTAGGAACAATTCCTTCCACAAGTCGGCATAGAAAACGTGTGCATTTTCCGGAAGAATCGACAGGAAATCTTGGGCACTTTTCATGTTGGAAATGCACTTTTCCTGAAAATTCGCTTTTTAAAACGAAAAATTTGAATTTCCCGCACTTTCAGCGATCCATACTGTACTTAATCGCAGCATGAAACTTCTCTTTGAGCGGTTTTTTCGATTTTTCGAGAAGAAACTCTTCGCATCGACGAATCGCAGTTTTCGAGCCGAAAAAATCGGATAATTTGAGAATATCGATTACAATGAAGTCGTCTAGAGGGGATTCTCCATTGATAAGTTCCAGAAAAGTCTGAAAATCGCGCGGGTCGACATCCTTCAGCTCGATTATCGACTTTTGGGATTCTGAGAAGTTTCCGAGAAATAGAGAGTCGAAATAGGTGGAGTGAGAGGCCAAGTGCTGAAAAATGTGCGCTTTTTAGCTCGAATTTCAAAACTTGTTCAGTAGAGCGCGCTTGCGAGGCGCCGGAATTCAAAAGTCGGGTTTTCAGCAAAAATGCGCCGAATTTCGTCGTTTTTTTTTTAAATTTTTTGCTGATAAAAGTGGTTTTCTAGGCTAAAACAGACATTTAAAGTGCAAAAATAGCCAGTTTGGACAAAAAAAAAAGAACAATTTCGAAAAAATATTTTGAATTTTTTCAATGTTTTAATGAATAATAGCTTGAAACAATGTCCATTTTTGTCTAATGTAACTTTTATGGCTGAAAAATTCTGTAAAATTTACAAAAATTGAATAAAAAACGAAAAAAAAGACAAACATTGAAAAAAATTATTTATTCAAATTTTTTCAAAAAAAAAAAACATTTTTATTAAAAATTTTCCACTTTTACAGGTCTAAATGACTTTTACAGGTCTAATGTTGTATTTTAATAAAAACTTTGTATAAGCGAAGAAAAAAACCAAGTTTTGAATTTTGGCGCCGCGCAACCGCGCTCTGCCGAACAAAATGAGAAAAGCGTCCAACAATTATTTTATTAACATAAAACTCCTCATTTCCAACCACCAACAACACATCCGAGTACTTTTTCATCGATTTTTCATCGAAATTTCTCAATTTTCTCGCTTCGACACCTCTCATTTCATCGATTTCTACCAATAGCGTCACTGTCAAACTACCATGGATCAGATATTCTTGAATATCGGCCCATTTCACAGTTTTATACCATTCCGAATAGTTTTCCGAGTATTCACACTGATATTTTCCCTCGATTCGTTTGCCGAATATACTGTTTGTCGATGGAGAAGTTTTAGTGTTGATTGACCATTCAAGCGATCGCTGACCCAGCGAACAGCGCAGTGCAATCGCGAAAAAGTTCGAATTTCGACAAATTTGAAACTCCTGGAAAAAAATTTCGACTCAAAATTTTTAATTTTGCGCAATCTTTCCGGATGTTCTTACAAATAATACGAATGCATTTCAGCTTAAGACTATAACTTCAAACGAAAAACGAAAAATTTCGAAACAAATTGCAGGGGAAAAAATTTTGAAATTCGCGAAATTCCCAGTTTTTTCGCTGAATTTTTTTTCTAAAAATTTTGGTTTTTCTGTTCAAATTTCAGGGTTAATTCATGAAATTATGTATTCTAGAATCGATTTTTAGGCAAAATTCTAGGCGAAAAGCCGAAAATTTCAATTTTTGTCTTGTAAATCGATTGTTTTACCAAGTTTACAGTTTTTTTTTTGAAAATCGATATTTTTCAAACAGTAACCCCTTTTTCATTAAATATAGTATTATTGTCGCAATAAAAAAAGTGAGACTCGGTGTTTGCGTACTTTGATTCCCGCCTCCCCCCACCGACGCTCCGCCCATCGCTGTGCAAGTGCGGCGTGGTGTTTTGGCGCCCCACTTGGAGATCATATTTTCTATGAAAATCTCATTAAATCCGATGATCTCCCAAGTGGGTCGAACACGTCGGTGGGGGAGGCGTGAATCAAAGTACGCAAACACCGAGTGTCACTTTTTTATTCCGACAATACCATGGAATATTTTGATGATATTCGACATTTCCAGCGATATCGTCAACTTGTTTCATATTCAACACATCTTCGAAAACATGTTCGATAACAAATTCTTTCTTTTCGGTGTATGACGTTTTTGAGAGACTTTTCTGGAAATTTCTAGGTTGAAATCGATGTTTTAGAGGGGGAAATGCATGTATCTCAATGAAAAAAATCAGCTGAAACAGTCGGAAAAAGTTACAAAAATCGGTAGAATGTGCGCGTTGAATGCGATGAGCAATGATTAAAAAAAACAACTACAGTATTCTTTTGAGGGCGCACCAGAGGCAGTGTGCCTTATCGACAAAAAAATCGCAATTTTATCGACAAAACTAGCGATAAATTTATCGATAAAATTTTGTCGATAAATTTATCGAAAAGGGCGTTTGTCGATAAGGCACACTGACCAGAGGAGTCATATAAGGCTTCCATTTTGGTCGGTCGAAACTCGCACCACCGATCCAGCCGACCGACAGCCGTCGTCGGCGCGCCGACCGATTTCGTGCCTTTGCGCATTACTTAAAATGGCTATAATTGCGTACGAAGCATTTTATTTTACGACAAACGAGGCTTTTAGTGAGTAGTTTGTCGTAAAATACAATGCTGCGTATGCAAACACGTTGACGCGCAAATGCGCGAAAATGGTCGGCCGGCAAAATTTCCTGACTGAATGGAAGCCTTGTTCAGAAGTCAAGCAATACTAAAAGTAGACAAAACATCTAGAATAAAAACTGATAATTTGAAAAAAAAAATTGTTCTACCGTAGTCAATTTAAAGGCGCATTCTCTTATAAATCATCGACTTTTTTCTAGTGAAAAATATACAAAAAAACAGGTCAAAAGAGACAGAAAGTCAGTTGTTATTCTTAAAAAAGAAGTTACGAAAGAAAAATGCCGGCGGCGGTGACTGAAGGTCCCAAAACGAAAACTACCGTAACCAAAAAAACGATTTTTCTGCGATTTTCTCCAAAAATGAGCATTTTTTTAAATTGAAAATTGCGAAAAAATCTTTTTATATTGCATGCTTACAATTATGCTTGTGTTAGCGCTTAAAGGTGGGGGGACATGAAAAAAAAAATGTTCTCGATGTTCCGTTCAAAAATGCCCCTCGAGGAGTTGAACTTGTGAGGGCGATGATTGAGGGTGCGGCGCCGCTACCGACTGAGCCACGCGGGCAAAGAGAAAGCGCACGCCCGATTGCATATATAAAGGCGAGGACGACAGATGTACGCAGAGTGACATTAAGCGTTGTACACCGTTACGGTAGAATGCATACTCTAGCTACAAAAAAACTACGAAAAATCTCCTGTCCCCCCCACCTTTAAAACTCCAAAAAAATCGCTGAAAAAAGCCTGAAAATACGAAATATAACAAACGATTTTTTAAAAATTCGAGTTCATATGTATCATTGAAAAATGTTACAGTAATCACAGAAAAGAAAGGATAATGACAAAAATATGATATGTCGTAGAAAATACGGGGTCAATGAAGAGTGAGATTCGGTATGGGGTGGGATGGGATTTTTTTTGTTGGTTTTTCGGCTAGAAAAAAGACTGCAAAGTCTTGATTCTAGGTTTTTGAGAATAATAAGTACAGGTTACAGTAGTAGGGAACAATATGGTTATGGTAAAAGAATATCGAGAAATAGAGGATCCTTGGAGAAATAGGTTAGATTTTTCAATATGAAAAAGGTACGGGTTAGGTAATATAGAGAAATATAGGGTCCTTGTCATGTGGAGTAGATCGGCAGTGAGATAGTGATGTAGATGTGGTGTAGCTGGCGGTTAGTGGCCGTGGATGGAGGGGATGAAGGTGGTGGAGTTGAAGTCAGCAAGCCATCTGAAATTTTACAATTTTATAGTTTGTAGTTGAAAATCTTGAACACTGTAATGTGATGTAACTACCGTACCACTCAAATAGAAGCCCACCATATACGTACACTATAAGCTCAATTATCTCGGTTCCTATATGAGATATCAAAAATTTGTTAACTGATAAAAGTTTTATCATGTTATCAGCAAAATTTTACCAGTTGATAATTTTTTGATATGTCGTATAGAAACTTAGATATTTGGGCTTAAAGGTAAAGCTTTGTAGTGACGCCATCAGCCGACAGCGCTGACGGCATTGCGCCAAATTCGGCTCAATTATCTCGGTTCCCATAAGAGATATCAAACATCTATAAGCTAATAAAATACAGCTGACATAATGATAATTAATTTATCAGTTGGCAGATTTTTGATATCTTTTATAGGAACCGAGATAATCTATTAGAGAAACTACGGTAAGTACCCCGAAACTGGAAACTGAGAATTCGAACCTCGTGGAATCTTGAAATCCCAAAAAAAAACAAACAAACCCTTACATCTTTAACAATCCTTATCTCTGCCGTAGCCTCTCCTTATCCCCAAGTTCCCGGACACATCCTGCACTTGAACTCCTGGAACTCTCCAACCCGTGCATCAAAAGTCTTGCACTCAATCACCTGAGTCCTTTTATCCCGGAACGCCATGAATTCATACCCAGTGTGGCAGCATGATTCAATGGAAAACTGTGGGAACGCCTCAGGATCCACATGCTCAGTTGGATGCTCCTTCAGAATCATCTTCACTGGCTGGGCTGGGATGACTCTAGTCCCCGCTGCGTTGATCACCTTCTTCACCCATCCATTCTCCGCCTCTTTCACAAAAACTGCACCATTTTCACCGATGACGATGAATGGGCAAAATGGGCGAGGCTGGTATTCCAACTCTGGATCTTCAACCTCACAAAGTGAACCAGTTGCCTGGTCAAAAATGAATGTCTCCATTTTTTCAGTCACCTTATTTTTGCAGAAGAGGACATGGTGTCCCCGATGCATCTGAGAATGCAAGGGTACCAAATCCTCCTCTCTGATCCCACAACTGCACTTGTGAGGGACAAGTTTCTGCAGTTGTGGGCAGAAATTAAAGGTTTTGGACTTTTGGCCCTTAAAGGTGACTGAAAAGAGGGGCACATTTTGGAAGGGACAGACTTTGTGGAATTGAGAGCCGATGGTGAGTTGGTAGGAGGATGGGATGATGGAGGGTTGGGGGAAGCAGCGGGAATTGAAGTAGGCGCGGACTGGGTAAGGGTACCCGGGTGGGGACATGGAGACTGGGGAGGAGGTTGTGGTGGTTGGGGAGACGGACATGATGATGGTGGCGGTGGTGGGTGAAGGAGTAGGAGGAAGAAGGTTCTGGAAGAAGGAAACTAATTTCGTTGGAGCGAAGTTGCGAAACTTAAAAAGGAAGTTCAAGATGAAGAAAGTGATCCAGTCTAGGAAATCTTAAGTAATACTCTATAACCCTAAGAATTCGGAGTTTGGAAAATTAAAAAATCTAGAAACCCTAGAATTTTAAAAAAACCCAAAAACCATAAAAGGAGGGGAAATGAGGTGAATAGTTACCAGATTTAGAAGAATCGTAAGCTCAAAGAATCTAAAGGATTGGAGTCAGAATTTTGTTAATTCGAAAATTTTAGAAAATCTAGAAAATCATGGAATTTGAGAATCTAAGAATCATAGAATCTAGGAATCTAGGAATCCAGATATCTAGGAATCAAAAATCTGTGAAAATGCAAAAAAGGGAAAAGGTCGAGATGAATGAATAAGTTGACACCTATCCTGTTCGTCTACCCCCATTCCCTTTCAACCCCCTGGCTCCGCCCATCGAGACTCCGCCCTCTGGGATCCAAGGAAAGGCGGTTCTTCCCAAGAGCAATCCAAAGAATGGGATTTCGCGGGTCGACTAAGATTACTGTAGAGAGAAACTGAAAGATAAGATTCCTGTGGAAATAATAGAAAATATGAATATTCAGATAAAAGAGAAATGAATTAGAAATAGATAAGATATTCGGGACTTTTAAGATCCCTAAGATTCGAAAAACCAAAATGTAAAAAATGTTTAGGATTCCAAAAAAATGACACAATTATTCTAAAGCTTGAATTTTCTGAATTTTCACGGTTCTCAGAAATTTAAGAACTACAGTACTAGCCAGAATTCTACCCCAAAACGACCATTTCTGTCGAAAACAGGCAACTTTGGATATCTACAAGAGCAAAGTACACTTGTCCGTTTAACCTGAAAATTTCAGATGTTATAAAACAAATATAGAACTTCATCTTTGTAGTTGAAAACTTTTCCCGCCAATCACTCAATGAAAAGATAATTTGTGATAAACCGAAAACATCTCAAAAGCTTCAAAATTACCACTCAAATTTATTGCGACCTTTTTCTCCAGCAAGTGTTTGCACAAAAAAGTTGTAAATTACAAAAATGAAGTTCTATGTTTTTTCTAAAATTTCAGGATTTATCAAACTAATCGGATCAGTAATAAGTACTTTTGTAGACACCCAAAGTTGACCAATTTCCACTAAAATTGTCATTTTGGGATGGAATTTCGGGCAGCACTCTAGACCATCAATCGTATCATAAGATTCTCAAAAATCGTATTTCTTTTATTCAGGCACTGTAGAACAGATATACTGTATCCTTCAGATACAGTCCATCTGTCGTCCTAGTTCCCAACCGCGTAGCTTATTTTCCGTGAACACTCTAATAAGACGTCACTCAATATTTAGGCCCAAATATCTCGGTTCCTTTAAAAGCTATCAAAAAACGATCAACTAGTACAATATTTTTGATATGATGATAAACATTTTATCAGTTCACCAATTTTTCATATCTCTTACAGAAAATGAGATATATGTGCTCAAAGTTGACGGTTTTCCTATGAGAGTGTTTACGGTGGTTGCGGTGCGGTACCTCGGTCTTTGGGCTCACAAGTTCATTATGTCAAAGAGCTTATATGAATATAAATTCAAGGAATGTATTCTTTCATGTCCCGTGTACTTTTAATTATAAATGCCCTTCTTTCGCCAATCTAGGTTCCATTGCACCTTGCCAAATCATCTATTGTTTTCATATCTGTTCTTCTGGGATCTGTCGCTATTAAGTACTCCTTCAAAGCGCATCTTGATTCGTCACATACATCATATTGCTATTGGATTAAGATCGCAGGTGTCGATTGAAATAACAGAAGACTGTGAGTTTGGGAAAATCCAGATCACCTAGATGAAAAAAGAAGAATAGTGAGAAGGTAAATAAACAGAAGAATGTGATTCAGGCAAAATAAAGTATGACATTTCAATGGGAATATTTCAAAGACAGCTGTGAAAAATCGAGGTAGAGGAAAGTTTGATAAAAAACGACGATTTTCCAGATCGCCACTATTTTAAAGGTGTTTCAGTTGCATACCTTTTTGCATATATGGCCGTTGATAAAGTGATAAGAAGAATTTTAATTATGTTATGTCGTTTTTTCGACCAAATTCAGTACAAACATTTCTACTTTTTCACTAAGAAAAAAGTCAACTTCGTAGTCCTGAAAAAAGTAGTCCAGAATTTTTCGATTTGCCTGAAACCTGCAGACTATACTGAACAAGACAAGAGCTTCAATTTTGTAATTAACAACTTTTTCGTCCAAATCCAAGAAAGCGAGATAAGCGATTTGAAAGTGGCATCAATATTCTGAAAACTTTAAATGTCCTGAAATTCCCTTTTCCCTTCTACTCTCTATTCTTTCCGACTGTCTCCTCCTGTCTGCCTAACACAGACCTGTGCTCCCGGGAAAAAAAGATCAAATCTTATGATCTCAAAAAGGCAACATAACAATGGACACATCTGCTCAAGAAGATTGATGGGTGATAATCTAGATGACACATCGAGCAGACATCGTTGTTCCTTTTTGAAGTGGTAATAGGGAGCAATTAGGAGTCTATGTAGTTTTGCATAATGGTATTATGCTCTTGGGAAGGTTGGTGAGAACAATTGATGGGATACAGACAGAGGAGATGTGGAATTTGGGACCAAAAAGTAGCTATGGGTACCTAAAATATTGGGTATAGAGAAAAATACAAAACGGGTTTTTTTTCTAGAATTAAAATTCGAAAGTGGGTCTGACTGTAAATGCTCTAATGGAAGCCTACCCCATACTTTGAGCTCAATTATCTCAGTTGCCATGAAAGATATTAAAAATGTCTCAACTAATAAACTGTTTATCATAACATAAACAACATTTTATCAGTTTATTACTTATTGATATCTCTTTTAGGAACCGAGATAATTGGTTCACATTTTGCGCTTTTGGGTCGGCACCGCTCGCTGTCGGTTAATTGAGCTCAAAGTTCAAGTATAGAGTGGATTAGAGCATCCAATGTAAATTCTATTAGAGCATCCAATGTAAATTTCCAATTTACTACAACGTCTGAAAATATTTTTGAAACTCTGAAAATGTAAATAATTTTTTGAAAAAAAAATGTAAACTTGATATCATGCCTGTCACCTTACAAGAAAAAAGGCCCCAAAACGAAAACTACAGTAACCCAATTTTTTAAAACCAGGATAATATCAATACGTTTCCAAAGTGCCTTTAAAAAATCCGGATCTTCAAGAATGCGTTAAAAATTTGTTGCTCTATATGCTAAAAATCTCAGAATTCAAAATCGAAAATTTCAGAATCACGAATTTCAGATTTTCAGATTTTCAGAATTTTTCAGAATTTCAGAGTTTCGGAATCTCAGAATTTTTTCAATTTCCGGAATTTCAGAAATTTCAGTATTTCTTTTTCGAATTTTCCCTTACTTCTTAAAATCAAAAATCCGTGAACTTTGCAAAGCAAAAGTATGTCTTCAGTCGGTCCACGAGTGCCAGCTGCCACCTGCCAACTTTTTCAGCCATCATAAAGATTTTTGCACTCTCTCTTTCACACAATCTCTTTCCAAAAGATGAATTTTAAAGGTGGGGGGACATGAAAAAATAATGTTCTCGAAATTCCGTTCAAAGATGCCCCTCGAGGAGTTGAACTTGTGAGGGCGATGATTGAGGGTGCGGCGCCGCTACCGACTGAGCCACGCGGGCAAAGAGAAAGCCGCTGCCCGATTGCATACATAAAGGCGAGGACGACAGCTGTACGCAGAGTGACATTAAGCGTTGTACACCGTTACGGTAGAATGCATACTCTAGCTACAAAAAAACTACGAAAAATCTCCTGTCCCCCCACGTTTAAAACTTTAATTGCTTTTATTTACGTTTTATCTCTTACTATCCAGATCAATAGCTACCTATCGATTACTGGAGGTTTGTGAAATTGGCGGGAACTTGAAAAATTCAAGTTTGCATGTACTGATGGTTCCCCTGGATGTTCTGATGAAGAAAACCATGAAAATGGAGCATTATGTTATAGAGATGTCCCGTTTTATTCCAATGAAACCGATGAGGAGTATTTCGGGTGTTGTAGTGAGTGGTTTTTGAGGAAATAAGAAAATGAGAGCAGCGAAACTTTGAGCCAATTCATCTGGGTTTCTGGGAGAGCTATGAAGAAGTTGTCAACGAATAAAATGTTGCAAATTTTATGATAAACAATTTCTGAATTTCTGAATTTCAGAATTTTTGAATTTCTGAATTTCTGAATTTGAAACATTCAGAATTTCAGAATTTCAGAATATATGCCAAAAACAGCCCACAGAAGTGAACGTAGTAAATTTCACTTTTTGAGGTAGATAACTTCCTAGACCGATCTAAACTTCAGAATTTCAGAATTTCTGAATTTCTGAACTTCTGAATCTCAGAATTCAAAATTTTCAGAATTTCAGAAGTTCAGAATTTCATAAAATCAAAAAAAAACACACAGAAAATTGCATTTATTGTTCAGTTGAAAAGAAATTCAAATAGAGATTCAATTACTGTTACAATCATTTAATAATTTAGAATTATTGATTTTTAGCCATTTTTCACAGATCACGAAAATCCCGAGACTATTCAATCCTCTTGACGCATCTGAAAATTTAAAACTCAGAATCTCAAAACCTCAAAATTTTGAAATTTCCTCACCCAAATGCCTTATCCAGTACTAAAAACAGGCAAATCAAAAGTCCACATCCACAAACATCAGCCGCAGAAGTCAGTAGTGGAATCGCATGATTATCCGGATCCAATCCGAATTTCCAGAGAGTGAACACTATTAATTGGGCCAGATAGAGAATTGTAAATGACTGAAAATGGGATAGTAAGATTGGAATCCATTGAACTCGTGACAGTTAATTTTGACTTAACTTTTTTCTCTGCTGTGAAAGATATCAAAAAGTTGTCAACTGATAAAATCTTTATCATAATATCAAAAATGTTTTATCAGTTAATTACTTTTTGATATCTTCTCTAGGAAGCGAGATAAATAGGCTCAAAGTCAGTAAAGGTTTTTTCTGGCGCCGCCTCCCCCTGGGAACTGAGGAAGGTAGCTTCTTCCATATAAGTTATCTCGGTTCCTCTGAAAGATATCAAAATGTGGTCAACTAGTAAAATGTTTCTAACATTATGATAAACATTTTGTCAGTTAACCACTTTTTGATATCTGTTACAGGAACCGAGAAAAATATGCTCAAGATGGAAAATCACATTGTAAAGGGTAGCACCATATACATTAACTTTGACTCAATTTATCTCAGTTCCTGTAAAAAATATATAAAAATTTTAAATTAATAAAATATTAAACATGTGTCAATCTACATTTTATCAGTTGACACATTTTTGATATCTCTTATAGTAACCGAGATAAATAGGCTTGAAGTCAGCAAGACTCTTATGGCGCCCTTCCCCTTTTTCTTGGGGTGGAGCTGAGGAATATGGTTTCGTCGATCCTATGTACCTAGGTTACTTTAGAAGATATCAAAAAGTGGTCAACTGATAAAATATTTGTCTTATTATCAGTAACATTTTATTAGTGAACCACTTTTCAATATCTCTAACAGTAACCTAGATACATAGAATCAAAGAAGTCATATTCCTTAGCTCCACCCCCAACAAAGCCCGATCTTTGTTACCTGCACCAACACCACCAATGCATAACCCAAGAAGAATTTCCAATCCAGTTCAACAGGCTCATATACAAAAGACAGCGCAGTCGATATTCCAACAAAGAACATCTGAAATGGAAGCGCTGTGAATAACAAAAGACGGGCGGTCTGCGCTTCTGAACAATCCGATCGATAGTAGATGAAAGGGATTGCTCTCTGCTTCCAATCCAGCTCAGATTCTTGATGGATTTCCAGATAGGATGATATTCGAGAGGCTAGAACTGCTCCTCGATTTCCCGCTAATCCAGAAATCAGAGTTTGATATGCAGGATAATTGGGATACGTCATTGCTCCTTCACTTTGAATTAATCCGGCTAAACAGGAGACTATCGAGGCGAAGACTAGGGTTAGGCATTGTTGTTTTGCGGTTGTTACTGCCATTTCGTCTTTCCCTGGAAATTTTGAAATTTTGAATTTTTGACAATTTTTGAATTAAATTTTTTTTTAAATTTAGGACTTGCTGATTTTCCGGAATTCAGAAAATCGAGAAGTTTGAAAGTTTTTTTTTTCGAAAAAAAGATAATTACAGTAATCCGAGAAAAGCTACAGCAATAAAAAGAGTTACAATAATCCAAAAGTAGTCTAGTTACAGCTACAGTAATCCTGAAGACACTAAACATGAATTCGAAAAAGATACCGTAACAATAATCACTACAGTAGTCCTACAGAAACATATAAAAGCTACAGTAATCCAAAAATGAAAACTACAATTGACAATTTTCGACAATTTTTGACAAGGTCTGAAATTTTGAAATTTTGAAATTTTCAAATTTTTGAGGCTTTGAATTCTGGAATTTTTAAATTTTAAAAAAGTCTTACATCCCAACATAATCCAAACAGGTATACTACAAATCGAAATACTGATAATAATATTCGGAAGAGCACTCGAAAAGCCAGCATACGGTCTCAGAAGATAGCACAAAAAGAGCATTGATCCGATTGTGAGCATATCAGAGATGCTGGCTCCGAGTGGAGCAACAATGTTATCTGGGTTGTAGTCATGCTTCCACGCGTAGTACACAATTGTGAACAAAACTATAAAAAGTTTTAACCAATTCCTATCTAATGCTCTAAAAATGCACTGTTAACTTTGAGCCCATATATCTCATTTCCTAGAGAAGATAGAAAAGAGTGGTCAACTGATAAAATGTTTATCATATTATCAGTAATATTTTAATAGTTGACCACTTTTTGATATCTCTTTTAGGAAGCGAGATAAATTGGCTTAAACTCAGTGAGCTTTCTATGGCGCCCTCTACTCGCTTTGAGCCTATTTATCTCGGTTCCTGTAACAGATATCAAAAAGTGGTCAACTAACAAAATGTTTATCATAATTTATAAATATTTTATCAGTTGATCACTTTTTGATATCTTTTACAGGAACTGAGATAAGTTGGCTCAAAATTTTTGAAAATTCACTCACAAGTCGTACAAATGGCACAATTCAAGGCAACAGATAGAATAGACGACGAAGTTAGAAACATTGAGCTCTCGATGTTGCTCAAATCACGAGTATCAGTGTCATTGGACACTGTAGTTGAGTTGGCGAATTCATCTGATTGAGAATCTCGAAGAGCTGGTGTGAGGTGGACGATGAATAGAGAGATGAGATTGGCAACAAGGCAAACGACTATTGAGAGAGCCTGAAAATTTTGAGCTCAATTATCTCGGTTCCTTCAGAAGATATCAAAAATTTGCACGCTGTTAAAATGTTTATCATAAAATCATCAATAATTTATCAGTTGACAAATTTTTGATATATGTCATAGGAGCCGAGGTAATTGAGCTCAAAGTTAAGACACCGTTTATTTTCTAAATTGTTCATCTTCCATAATCGTTCTTATCTTTTTCCTACAGTAATCCTTTTTATTTTTCGATATTCTCCACTACAGTAACCCTACCTCAGACACCGCTGCATTCCTCCTGACCCTCATCAAAATTCCCTCCTCTGCAAACGCGCCCTTATGAGCCAATGTAGACATTCTGGATGAGAAAGTCATGTCCAGATTGCCACGTAGTCCTTGAAGAGGTGGCATGAGGACCAGAAATTCTGGAATTTCTTTGATCAGAGATAACTCTTTGTTGGCATAGGTTAACAGAAGGCCAGCACCAATCGAACCACATCCGCCGATGAAAAATGGGAAGAGGCTCTGGAAATTGAAATGTTTGGGAATCTAAATTTGAGCTCAATTATCTCGGTTGCTTTAAAAGGTAGGAAAATGTCGTAAGTTGATAAAACATTCAACTTATTTCGAGCTACATTTTGTTAGTTGGTTACTTTTTGATATCTCTGCTAGGAACCGGGATAATTGAGCTTAAAATGTGCCAGCATGGTGGTGACGCAACCTGCCGACAGTGCGCACTTTGAGCGCATATATCTAATTTCCTGTCAAAGACATCAAAAAGTCATCAAAAAATAAAAAAATGATAATTTTATGATTACAACTTTATCAATTTACAACTTTTTTATATCTCTTATTTGAGCTGAGATAAATGAGCTCAAAGCGCGCCACCTGCAATAGCGTAGCTCGCGGCACCTTGGGCCTGAGATATCTAGGTTACTGTAAGAGCTATGAAAAAGTGGTCAACTGATAAAATATTGCTCAATTTATGATTAACATTTTATCAGTTAATCAATTTTTGACATCTTTTATAAGAGCCGAGATAATTAATCTCAAAGTGGGCAAGCAAGATGGTATAGCAATCAGCCGACAGCGCGCAGTTTGAGCGCAATTATCTCGATTCCTGTAAAAGATATCAAAATCTGTTCAAATGATAAAATATTCAGCAAATTTTCAGCTACATTTTGTTAGTTGGTTACTTTTTGATATCTCTGCTAGGAACCGGGATAATTGAGCTCAAAGTTGACAGTTTTTTTTTGGAAATTTGGAGGCCCTTCTAATACAGGTTTTACAGTATCTCTGGATTTCCGAACCTGCAAAAAAATCTGCAACATCGTGTCCGGCACATTCTCCGCCTCCTCATCGCCACCGTCTCCATCGACGTCAGAATTTTCGGCGTGTAAATCTCCAGAATACTCCTCGGCTCGTCATCCCGGTTCGATCGTTGTTCCACCGCCGTTTCCACACCCTCATCTGATGACGTCGTTGGAGAGTACGTCTGTGTTGGTTGCTCTTCGAGTAGTGGTGGTGGCTTCAGCATAAGAAATACAGAGAAATCCTAGGGGAAAATGCCGACAACGTCATAGAGGGCGCTGGCTAAAAAAACTAGATAAATAATCTAAGTCATCCACGTAACCCACTAGGATTCCAGACAATTTATAGCAAAAAAAAACATAAGCCCAATGCGGGGCTCGAACCCGCGACAACCAGATTAAGAGTCTGGTGCTCTACCGACTGAGCTAACCGGGCGGCGGGAGAACTGGGTCGGCATGTCGTATAAGAAGGGTGTGGTGGGCGAGGGAGAGAGGGGGGAGAGAGGTGAAGAGGGGAAAGTGGAAAACGGGTTTTCTTCAAAAAGCATACTNGTAAANCTCCTTGCCCGGGCCGAGGAAATTTTCAAGGCCCGGGCCCGGCCCGGAAGGCCCGGTGTCAAAAATTCTGTATTTTGAGCCAAATTTTGAGCTCTCGAAAAAAATCACATAAGGGTCCCCCCTTA